TCAAATTAACCACTCAACCATCACGTTCTCAAACAATTCATCCCCACACAGCTACCTCCTCATGTATCCCTTGCCCCTCCCTTTTAGATTGTAAGCCCTTATGGGCAGGGCCCCCCTTACCATCTTGTCTTGAATTGTATTGTGATTGTAATGTCTTCCTTATATTGTAAAGCTCTACACAAACTGTTGGCGCTATATAATAATAATATACCGGGCGTTCAGCTTTAAGTTTTACAGTAGGGATAGACTAGTGCTCTGCTGCCACTACATTTTTTGGGAGGACAGTGCTAACCACAGGCTTTAAAGACTATGGTAGATTTGATAACTGATACACATTGTGCGTGATAGTTTCCCCATTGCTAGCCAAAGTCCACGTCCCCTGCACTGCCCCCTGTACTTAAAGTAGAGCTGAAGCCAAAACATTTTATTTTATTTATGTATAGAGTAAGGGGAATTATAACCTTTTTTTGTCAGCTTTTTGTTTGCCATCTGTGTCCTGTTTGGAGAGATTTCTTCCTCTCTAATAGCCCCGAAAATCCCTTCAAAGTTAGGGAAATCCCTGGTGGTCAGAAGGCTCACCAGAACTAGTGTCCCCATATATTCATATTCTAGTGACAACCCAAAAGTTTTTCTTTTACATTCACTTTTAGTGATAGCAGTCACCAGGACAAATAGAGTGTCAATCTTCCTAATGGGAACACAGACAGCAATAAAAACAGGTGTCCTAATCTCTCTCCACTCTAGCCAAAACAAAAAAAAGTAAATAGGCTTCAGTTTCACTTTAACTAATGGGCTGATGGCTTAAACACTTCTCCATGCCTATGCCCAGACCTGCAAAGAGTAACTAAAAGAGATTGCAGGTGACTGTGGAAAAAACCCTAAATTAAATATAATAACCGATTTTTCTTTGTTTCATGGCAAAAAGAATATTGTCTTCATAGTTTGCAAACAGCATGATAAACCACCTCTTTACCTTACAAAAGATTCTTGTAACTTCACTCATAGGCATTGTATCCCTTCTTACTCCAGTTCTGCAGTTCTGAATTCACCTAAAAATGACTTTGATTGTGTCCCCTCTAACTGTGCTGGTACAAGAAAGTTTTTTTTTTTTACACCTACCTACTATTTCATCATGCTTACAACTCATTTCTGATAGCTTCCAGCTAAGGTACATATCTTGATATGCATGCAATCAAAATCTTTTTTTTCCATAGTGCTGTTAAAAAACGACTCACCCCTTACAGTTTTCTGATTATATGCCTCATCTGGTAGACAGATTATGCAGCAGAAAGGCAACTGAAGAGGCCCACCACAAAACAATAAGAGATATTTTGTCAATCACAACTTGCCTAAGGACAACTTGTTTCAGGGGATACTTGACAACAAAGTGTTCAGCATTTCAGGCTTGTTAAAGAACTTCAGAAGGCTTCGCTGACCAGCAGGTTCCAATTAATAAGCTTGTTCAATCTAAAATATATTACAATATGGACTAGATATCATTGGTCTAAATAGTACAATATGCTTTAAATTTATCAATGGCTATTTAGTGCAAGGATCTACTCCATTTGACATAAATTAAACAGTTTGTTTAGATTCACTTTCGCAAATCAAAGTTGTTTTTAAACCCAAAGGAGATTACACAGAGATTGTAAGAAAAACATTGTAATTTGTGTTACCATCTCCATTGCTTATTAAGTATTAATCTTTGTGGAAGTGTGAATTAAAATGGTAGAAGGGGAATATACTGTATATAACCATTGCCCAGATAATTACTTTCTCTTGATACTGGTTGCAGGGGCTCAATTTATGGAGGTGGAATCCACAAGTGCAAATGTTCTAGTCTAGTTACCATTTTTGAATTTTGCTCTTCACAAAAAAAAATGCCCTTAAGAGGCCATGATGGATAAACAAGGCTTTATCTTTCACATATATGTTTGTCAGCAGAATGAACAATAAAATCCTAGCAACAAAGCACTATTGATATCAACCTTGTGATGGACAAACATAATTGAGTATTTATGAGTGAAGCTTTGATCGATATTCATTTTTGCTTGAAAAGAAACATTCTATTACAGTTAGACAGTATCTACCATTGAACTCTAGCTGGATTTGTTGTATTTTGTACAAAGACACATCTTGTATAGTCTGTGTCTCAAGAATGTTTTCTAAAGTCCAAGTTTAAAAAGTTGTCTTTATATTGTCTTTATATTTCTATTTCCTTTTTTCTCCTTCATGACTCTTATATAAACCTTTACAAACTCAATGGAGTTAATTTACTAAAGGCAAATAGGTAGCTCACTTTGCAAGGGAATTGTCCCTTGGCTTAGTGAATGAGTTGAATCTCTGCCGAGTTTCATCTAATCATGTGCAAGAAAAAATATTGTTTATTTTCCTTTCACGTCATTAGGTATTCTTTGCAAAATACATTTCTACCACATTTGCTAAGCCAAGAGAAAATTCCCTTGCAAAGTGAACATCCTTTTTTGCCTTTAGTAAACCAACTGTCTTGTTAGTTTCAGTTGTACCCATTACCACTGCTGTTGCTGTTACATTTTCAAAACTTAAAAATCCAATTACATGTCACAAACCTCACAGGAAACTTGTTAGGAATGAACTATGGGAGCTGCCATAAATGGCTTGTTTTAAAAGTGCAAATTGCGGGGCTTCTGTCCTCATTTATTTCACATATATTTAATAATTAATATTTAATGCATATTTAAGCAAATACTCAAATCAATTTAATTAAAAACCTATGGTTACTATGGTTACTAATAGGCAGGATATGAGCTCAAGGCATTGATGCCTACCTCTACTAATAGTACCTCTACTAATAGTTTAGCTCTCTATAGCACACCATACTTTTACACCTTGTTCTTATGGGTATCAGTAACAGTAAACTCCATCAGCAACTGAAGTCTGAAGTCTGTATGTAAAAAAAAGAGAAGCTACAATCAACTATTAAGTAACGAAGTAACGGCTGTATCATAATTTTCCATTGTGTGCTACAGTCTAAAGTTCGTGGAAACACCAGAACTTTTATAAGGTAAGAAAACATAAAGTACAGACTAAAACTCATTGACAGAAAAAAAAAAACACTGCTACTACAAGTGAAACTAGGAGGTTTATTCACTAAGCTGCCGAATGGCCACTTCCCCCAAAGCCCTGCGGCGTTGGTTGTGGGGGTCTGCGGGCAGAAGGGCTTATTTGTATTGGGGTACCCCTTTCATATAGGGGCACCCAGAAGCGTCCCCTACTTGTACCCCTACCCATTCACTGAAGGGTTAAAAATGTAATCGCAATGTAAGACGCAATCCAGGGTCAATCACGCTGTCCAGCGTTGTTCACGATGACGACAACTCGGCAAAATAAATAATAATTTTAAAAAGTCTGGGGCCACCGACCCGTCGGCACGCAACAAACTCCCACCACAGAATGACATTCTGACAGAAGCCGGCAACATATAAACAATCGGGTGGAGCTAGCGGTAAGGTTCCTCCTAATTGATATCAGACCCCTTAGGTCTGGTAGCAATGTTAGGAGGGACCCCAAGTTAAAAATAAAACATAAAAAGTGTGTGGGGTTGCCCACAAAAGTCATACTAGGCCTTTTAGGTCTAGTAGGCATTTTAAGGGGGAACCCACCCCCCCCAAAATGGGTTTCCTAAAATTCCTACCAGACCCTTGACCCAAGCACATGCTGGAAAAGGGGGGACGATCGAGCGCCCCCCCCTCCCTGCACCATATCAGGCCACATGCATTGGGAGGGTGTTCCATAGCCGATGGGGACAAGGGCCTCTTCCCCACAATGCTGGCTCAATGGTTGTGGGGGACTGTGGGCAAGGGGAATTATTTGCATCGGGGTACGTACCCCTTTAATTAAGGGGGTAGCCAGATGTTGCCCCCCTTTTGATTGAGTAAGGGGTACTTGTGCCCCTACTCATATACTAAATGATTAAAAGTAAAGGTAAATAAACACACCACACATTTTGAAAAAGTCCTTCAATTGACAAGTCTTTTATTTTTTTTAAATGGATCCGTCAATGTAATCCAGTGTCCCTTTTTTGGAGGTGGGGTTCCCCCTTAAAATTCCTACCAGAGCTGAAGGGCCTGGTATGACTTTTGGGGGGAACCCCACACACTTTTTTTATTTTTAACTTGTGGGGGTCCCTCCTAACATTCCTGCTAGACCAGTATCAATTGGGGGGAACCTCACTTTTTTTATTCTGCAGACTAAAAAAAAATCATTTTTTTTAACTTTTGTTTAATGCTTCTTTGCTGCAATGAAAGTTTGTTCGTACCGAAAATTCATACATACTACGATTTTTCTTTTTAAGTGGATGCTTAAAACTTCATTTGGGAAAGACATTCGTATGCATCCAAAATTTGCATTATTGGAAATTCATATTTGTTTGCATTCATTATTTCTGTCATTTAGAAATCCATATGCATTCGAATGTATGAATTTCCAAAAATGTGTCTGAATAACGAATCTTTCAGAAATGAATCGCACATGTCTAATTGACACTGAGGTGTGAACGGAGCCTTAACAAGCAGTAATGAATATAATAGTTACAGCTGAGCAATTACAGTATACACACAAGCCTTGGTGCTCTAATCACTGCTTTATGTGCCACGAGCTCTACCTGCCTGCTAAATAAAGAGTAGTAAATATTGTAGCCAGGGCTGAGGGCTACATGCAAATCTTGGTGTTTTAAACACCAACACATGAGACATAGCTTACAACCATACCCAGTGCAAAAGTGGCAGTTCATTATTTGTCTGAAATTTAGAGGAAAGAAAAGAGTATTGCTTGGAGTTGCAGTTATGTTTAGATTGTAAGCTCTCGTGGACAGGGCCCTCCTAACCATCTTGTCTTGAATTGTATTGTAACTGCCATGTCTTCCTTATACTGTAAAGTGCTGCTCAAACTGTTGGTGCTATATACATCCTGTATAATAATTATCATCATCATAATAATATTAGAAACAGAATCTAGCTTACCTTAAGTGTCAGTCTCACAGCACTGCACTCTTGCAAAGGGTTTAGTTTCAAAGTTTCTCCAGGGTTGCTGCAGCCTGATGTCTGATGCTGCATTTCACAGCAAACACATACTCCATCACTATTGATGTTTATCTAACAAAAAAAGAAGACAAGATTTAATTTGTATTCAGAATTAAGTTAAAAAAGCCACTTTAGGCAACAACTGTTAGCCACACCAGAGCAGAGTGTATTTCTGGCGATTTTAAAGTGTTTTTAAAGCAGAACTATGGGGTTAAGGGTTTTCCCCATAGTTCTCCTTAGGGTAATGGGAGGACACAAACTGGCATCCTCCCGTCACCCTAGGCTCAGTATACCGCGAACTGTAGCTCGCGGTATACTGAGACGCCGCAGCTGAAGCGGATCCCGACAATTGTGCCGGGATCCACCCAGCTGCGTGAGTGACAGCTGACTCTGCCTATCTAGAGGCAGAGCCAGCTGTACCTGCCCCCTCCCCCGTCCGTTCCGCCAGTCAGTGCTGGTGAATCTGAGCGGGGAGGGGGGGAATCCAGCCCCTCCCCTGTCATGGCAGAGAGCCGTGACAGGATCGAGAGGTGAGCGAACGCCGGTATGTGTTCGCTTACCTCCCGATCTACTGAGCCGACCTGTGACAGTCTCATTGTCACAGGTCAGCTAGAACTATGAGGTGAGTGAAAAGCACTCACCTCATAGTTCTCCTTTAAGCACGCAAACACACTTTTAAAAAGCATTTTGCAAGCTTTGTGCTTACCTTTTTGCATGTATCAAGCTTTTGGTATTTTTGTTCTGTTAAATTGAAAGCAGTTCTAGAGGTGGACAGCAGTTCTTCAAAAGCAAAAACACACACAAAAACTTGTGTAAACACTTGTGCCGAGGGTTTACAGGCTTTGAGCTTCACGCTCCAAGTGACTGAGCATAGAGATGTGAATAGTCACAATAAAAAAGAACGGATTTTGATATTGAGCATTGTCACGCATGGGGAAATGTGCAAAAACACCTGATAAAATGCTCAGGTGTAAATAGGGACTGTCAGGCTTATTCACAAAAGGGTGAAGAGTTTGGAGAAGGCAGGAGAAGTGAACAATCTAGGGCAACATAGCTGAAATGGAAAGTGAGCTGAATTGGAGAATGTTTCCAAATCAGCTATTTTGTCCTAGATTGTTCAATTCTCCTGACTTCTCCAAATTCTTCACCCTTTTGTGAATAACCTTGTATATGTCATTAAGAAAATATACTACTTTTATTAAAGTCAAACTACATTTGTCTCCTATGTTCTCATGAAGCCAAATCTTTCCAAAGCCACTTACAATGGATGCGGCTCCTTGATGTTTAAAATTTTTCATTTTCTGAGTCTCCCCTGAGCACTGGTGCTGATATCCTGTTTTAGGGCCCAGTCCCACCATATCCAGTGTATTCCAGTGCGGTTTGAGCCGGAACGCACTGGATCGCCTAGATCAATCTGGGGAGCGTTCTAGGGCGGGAGGGGGCATGCCGGTGCCATTCATGTCAATGGCACCACAGACACGCCCCCTCGTCTGCGGTGCCATCGCCCGACTCGACTGACTTCGACATTTTAGAGGAGTTTTTACAAGAGATCTGCCAATGGGGACAAATGTTCTGGTGACAGCTATTAACGATTCTTCTTCAGCACGAGAAGTAAAGGAAAATCTCCCAAGGGGAGGCACAGACAGCAAACAATAATCTGATAGTTGTTTTACTATCCTCTACTCTACTGAAAACAAACAAAACAACTTTGGCTGTACACATAACATAGGGGTGCAGTCCATGGGGCAGAATGGATAAAGACCACAGGTGTTTTTTGGACAGATAAAACTGAACAATGCCTCATTAATACCTGCACATCAATATTGTATTCATGACCACTGGGTTAGTTATCATTAGGTGTTACATTTGTATGTTAAATATCCTAACAAACATAACAACATGATACAGTACACGATTATATATTTCGGGACATCTGTTTACCATTTTCCAGTAAGAAATATTATGAAGCAGTTTGTTTGAAAAAATACACAATAAAATAAAATGAGAACAATGTAACTTTATATACATCAGATTTAGAATGTAAAATCAGTCGTCTACAGATGTATCTAGGCTGTTATAATAGTTGGAAACTAAGCAAACCAAAAATGTAATGCTGGGTCACTGACCCCTCCTGGGGATGACAAAAATAGACTCAGGTGTGAAAAAAACATGTTGTACAGGCTGGGAATTCACACTTTGAAATGTGTGTTCTTTGCTACATTGAGTTTTTTTTCACTGGAGAACTGATGTAATAGTAAATGGTACACTAAAAAAATCAATACATTCTTCAGAAGGAAAAAGGCTTCCCTACTTGATGCGTTATTGCACTTTGTGCTCAGAGACAGAACAAGGCAAAAAGTTAAACTAAAGAAAATTAACACTTTCATAGGTCTTGCACTTAAAAATGTTTTGAGGTTATTGATTACATTTAGTATAAGACCTTCGATTCCAATTTACATTCAGTGACAGCTTTCTGTCCCCTAACAGAATATAATCAAAGGGGCGGAGCAAGCCCTGATATGTCATGACTCCCTCCGCCCCTTTGTTGACATTTGGGAAAAGACCTGTCATTTGCAGCAGTTCGTCAGGGTCGGACATGGCAGCAGGAGGCAGGGATTTTTTCTTTCAGCAAATTTGCAGTCCTCATCAACTGAGAATGATGAAGACAACATGATTGAGCTGTGGAATACATCGATGGACTTTTTTTTTTTTTTTAATAAAAGAATTGTCAAAAACTGTGTTGCTTTTTTTTCAAATAAAGGACTTTTTAGTACGGTGTGGTGTGTTTATTTACTTATTTTACTGTTATTTGATGAATTAGTAGGGGGTAACAACTACCCCTTACTCATTCATAATGGGGTAGCATCTGGATGCCCCCTTTATAAAAGGGGGCACCCAGATTCTTTTAAGCCACACTGCCCATAGACTCCCAAAACCACAAGGTCAGGGTTGTGGGGAAGAGGCCCCTATCCTCATAGACATGGGGACAAGGTGCTTTGGCCTTGGGTCCCCCCCTGGCAAAGCACCATCCCCATGTTGAGGGTATGTGGCCTGGGATGGTGCTGGAGGGGCACAGTCGTCTCCCCCTTCTTTCTCTGCCAGGCTGCTGCTCAGATCCAGGGTCTGGATCAAGGGAATTTCAATTTGGAATGAAATAAAATGAATCTTACATGTCTAATATATATATAAATATACACTGTATATATAAAACAATACATGTATTGTCCCCATATAATGTGGCATGGATATCTATAATAGTACTCATAATTATGGATAAGCTCAGGTTTAGACAGCGTTCGGTGAAATCATGGTGCTGTCTTTCACAGTTTCTGAACACAATTCTGGGTGGACTTCACCATTTAAATCATTTGTAAATAATGTTTTATTTGACCTTTTCTGTGCCATAAATCAAACATGAAAGTGAGAGCACTTCATGAATTACATTATTTTATTCCTGTAAGAGAATGCTCTGCTCAACATCTAAAGAAGTCTGGATGGTATCCAAAACTCATTATATATACTACAGGACAAGGCACAATTTCTACAAACATTAAGCTTGTAGACTGTGAGCAGAAAAATATAGCTGTCAATATGGGAATACTCCCTGACTGCTCGGTCTTCAAAAAGCCAAGACTGGCAACCTGGAAATACTAGCACATAGCAAAAGAGTAAGTGCATGTCTGAAAATATTTGAGGGCTGCTGTACACTGCCCCATTCTGAAATAATGGTCGTGTAAGAAATTCATAGAGCATTATTAAATTCAGCTTTATGAGCAGGTTACTAAACGTTTATGTTACTGCTGAGAATAAGACAAACCCAGTATTAGATTTAGCCTGAACCATCCCCACACCCAGAAGAGCAATATACATTGAATGCAGGTATAGACACAATGCACAGAAGAGTGTATATTTCCAGTGTCTTTCCACAGAAGACTGTACATTTGGTGCAGACACAGAATGAAGACAGCACGTAGTAAATATTCAGCTCACAGTCAATGGTAGTTTGAATATGCCACAGATTTTTAAGTGACATAATTTACTGAAGTGCAGTATGTTTAATCATGACTGACAGTTTTCATTAGCAGCTGGGGTTTAAAAATAATCTGGCATTCTGTTCAGACACACAGCTTTAGTACAGGCTTCTTAAAGATGATTTTTGCCTGCAGAAATTAATACCCATCAGCCTTAGAAAGCACAGACACTGTCTCTTAGTATTCTAGATTTATACCTGGTATGATACAAAGCTTAACGCTTGTTTGGGATCTAAGTGAATCTTACTAGCAAAATGTCAGAAGCTGTTTTGAAGCACTAAGAACAAACCAAATCTGCCCTAATGGTGGCCAAACACATAGAGGGCATTTATCAAAACTAGAGCAGACAAAATCTGGAGCAGCTGTGCATGGCAACCAATCAGCATCCACCTTTCATTTTCAAAGCTTAACTGAACAGACTGAAAAGAGAAGCTGATTGGTTGCCATAGGCAGCTGCTCCAGATTTTGTCTGCTCCAGTTTTGATAAATTCTCCCCATACAATTTGATTATCCTACAATCAATCCTTTGCATTATCCAACACCTATCAAAACAATCCATTCACCTTTTATGCAATTAAGGTGACACTAAACTTAAGAGTTAAATCTTAAAAATGCATTCAAGTACCTTAACTATTAACAATCCTGTATCTTATTTGTGTATCATTCAGCTGTAGATCCTCAAATCATCTCTGAATTCATGCTGACACTGCCCTTCCTTCTGGAGGGTGGTGTCCCCGCTCCAAGCTCACTCCTTTGATGGACTACAATCTCAGTACAATAATAAATTAAATGTGAGATTGTAGTCCATCGTGGTAGTGAGCTTGGAGCAGTGGTTACTTTACAACACACACAGGGATCATGGGGAACAAAAGTAGGCACCCTCCAGAAGGAAGGACAGTGTCACCATGAATTCAGAGATGATTTGTGGATCTACAGCTGACTGATGCTCAAATAAGCTGCAATATGGTTAATAGTTATGATACTTAAATGCTTTTTAAGATTTAATCTGTGAGTTTAGTGTCACTTTAAGTAGGCCCTCAC